TGTATCACAATTCCTTCTTTTTATATGAATATATGAGTGAAACCAAAATAAAAGAATTTATTTTTTAATTCAAAATTTTCTTTAATTCTGTGATTTGGTTTTGAGACAATGAATTTGGATACATTACATTAACGGTAACATAAAGATTGCCATATCTATTAGAATGAGCTGTCAAAGGAAGACCCATATTTTCGAAAGTAATAACAGTTCCATGTGGTGTAATTTTTTGTTGAGCAACAGTAATGGTATTTCCATCTAAGTGTTTAATAGACCGTTGGAATCCAGTCAATGATTCTAATAAGGAAACAGTAACACTAGCATATAAATCACTTCCTTTTCTTGTAAATACTGGGTGAGGCTTTGTAACAAATTTTACAATAACATCTCCTGGTTTCATCTTATAACCATCATTGGCAAATTCTGGAATAATAGCAGTGTCACCATCCCTAACACTTCTATTAACATGAACAGGGACTTTCATAGATTTAGTAACAGTACCTTTGCCATGACATTCATGACATTTATTTTTAATAATTTTACCTGTTCCATTACATTTAGGACATTGTGTTTTTTGTCTCATCATTCCCATAGCTTCAATTTTCACTCCAGTTCCACCACAAACAGGACAATTTTCAATGTCATGACTAGTTTCTGCTCTAGTTCCATGACAATGGTTACATAATTTTTCTCTCTTAAACTCTACAAATACGTCCCCTCCGTAATAAACTTCTTCCAGAGTAATTTCTTTCACTATATGAATATCTGGTGTTTTCTTGGGTCGTTGGGGTTGTTCTTGACCTCCAAAATTGAAATGAAACCCTCCATTCTCAAAATGAAATCCTCCTTCATTTCCATTACTTCTAAAGAAATTATCAAAAATGTCTTGTGCGTTCATGTGAGGTCCTCCTCCATTATTCTTTAATGCTTCTTCTCCACCATGATCATATATTTCTCTTTGCCTTTTATCAGAAAGAACTTCATAGGCTTTATTAATCTCTTCAAACTTAACTTTATCACCAGTAGGTTTATCTGGATGATATTTTAATGATAATGCCCTATATGCCTTCTTAATTTCTTTTTCATTAGCATTACGAGGCACTCCAAGTACTTTATAGTAATCAAGTGCAAAGGAATAAAAAATAAATAAGAAGAAGATAAGTACTTTCATTTTTGATCAAATTAAATTTATTAATTCTGTTTTTTGATATTATTTAAAATAATCTATAAGGTATAACTTTTTTATTATAATTGATGAGTTAGTTGATGACGTAAAAACACCTGTTCAGAATTTAAGCTCTTTTTTCTTCATTATCAATTGTTAAAAACAATAAAACTTCTACTTTTTTATTCTGTTAATAGAGTGTTTACTAATAAAAAAATTTTAAAAAATTAGCTGGTTCAATGAATGTCTCTAATAGAATAAAATGATTCAATTATTCAACAAAAAATTTATGTATTATAACATTTTATTTATTTGTGTTTGGTTATTAAATAACAAAATCATAAAGGTTTGGAAGTTAAGTTGCTTATTAATAAAAAGAATAAAAATTCTGTCAAATGTAAATGAAATAAGATAAAATGAATTAAAGTAAATTACAAAATTGAATAAACAATAAATAAGAGAATCATAATTTGAATACTACATATAATTATCATTCATATTTTTAAATGAAGATTATCTATAAAATAAGACAATGATCTCTCTTTCCATATAAAACCTTGTATAATATTAAAATAAATAAAGACAAAATACTTATGTATTGAAGATAAAAAATAATTCAAACCCTATACTAAAATTTAAACTAAGAAGAAAAAAAGATAATGAAACAAATGATATATTTAGCAATAAATAAAGTTATGAAAATAAGAATATTATTAAATATTATGTTTGTAGTTAAATATAAAATAGTAATTTTTTTCTATTTTATTAATTGATAAAAAAATATTTAATTAATAATTTAATTAATAATTTAGAAGAGAAAATAGGAAAGTAATACTTTCAATAAGTTTACTTACAAAACATAACAATTTAGTAATTTTGAAAATAAAATACATTAATAAAAGAAAAAAAAAGAATATTTTCATTTAAATAACAAAATATCAAAAAAATTGATGTGAATTAACCAAAAAGTTTACCATAGCAAGTGAAGCAATATGGCTTTCCATTATTTTCTTTAAAGGAGGATTCAGTAAGAGGATTGACACAAAATGAACAAACAAAGTGTTCTGGATGGAATTTTTGACCCATAGCAGAAATAAAACTCACACCTGGTGCAATTGGTTTACCACATCTTCCACAAATATTTGTAGATGCATGATTAGAATAATGTTCAGCACAAACAGGTTTACCATCAAGGTTATAAAATTGTCCTCTTGGGAATGGTGCTTTACAAACTGAACAAACAAAACACTCTGGATGATATTTCTTTCCAAGAGCACTTAGAGATGGTCCAATAATTGGTTTACCACAATTAGAACATTTAGCTGCGCATTCTTCTTTATAACATTCTTCACAATATGGATTACCATCTTTTTGGAAGAATGAAGGAGTTGGGAAAGGTTTACTACATTTAGTACAAACAAAACATTCAGAATGATATGTTTTTCCTAATGCACTAACACAATTAGTAGTAATAGGTTTACCACATCGTGCACACATCTTAGCGAATTTAGCAATGAAACAATCTTTACAATATGGTGAATTTTCAACATTATGGAATGGATTAGTTCCTAATGGCTTTTTACAATTCTTACAAACAAAATGATCTGGATGATAACTCCTTCCAAGTGCTGTAATTCTTTGTGGTCCTAGTGGTTGTCCACATTCAGCACAAATATTTGGATCTTCGTTTATAACGGCTGTAATTGGGACTGGTGCATTGGACTGTCTTTTTGGTGCTGTAGAGTCAATACCATCTAATAAATCATCTAAATCATCTTTTGGTGCAGTCTTTGGTTTAGCAGCAGGTTTTGGTTTATCTTCTAAACCATCTAATAAATCATCTAAGTCATCTTTCTTTGGTGCTGGTTTATTGTTAACTGGTTTTGGTTTATCATCAAGACCATCCAACAAATCGTCTAAGTCA